TACACATTAATTAATTAGCAATCTATAGTAGAATAAAGTATGAATATAATATTTTTGTCTATTGATTATGAGTAAAGTGAAAGGATTATAGATATGAATGAAATATCCTCACAATACTGGCGCAAAAATTAAAACTACAAAATCAAATTCTTAACATAATTATGGCAATTATACCCGCTAAATATTCCCGTTGGCCTAAATTTTAGAGCTAGATGGTTTCATCTAATCGTGAGGTATATTTTAGTACCATTTTTAGCGCTCAAATACGTTGTCAGAGTTTATATTTCCCTTTTAAGTATTCTTTACAATCAATAAAACTAAACAAAAAATTAAATCTATTTATTAAAAAGTATTATAATATCAAAGGAAAGTTCGATAAATATATGTATTAAACAGATATTTCAAGAAATATATTAACGACTTCAGCAAAAATAAAATGATTCTTCACTTTATATGTTGTCGTAATTATTTAAATGTATTAAAAAAGTATAAATTTTGGTGTGATTTCAAAACACACACCAAAAAAACTTTTGACAAGTGTTTTAAATTCAGTAAACATTTACTCACTTAACGACAACATATGAATCAAAAACTTCATCAAATTTAAATCTCTTCACAATCGGAGACTCGTTTATCATGAATGATGGGTTAACTGCACCGGATTATTGTGACTCAATACAAATCGGGGTTATTTTGGACAGTCCACTAAATTGCTACTCATTATCATAAGTTAGTAATAGTTATTAACAGCAATAATAATAATTATTATATTAATAGTTATATTATATATAATCGTATTTATGTATTAAAATCAAATGCTCTTCTATTTTATATAATAATGTTTGACTCAAAAAATGTTTTTACTAGTAAATCACTTATGAATTGACCAATATTCTTATTATTGGTTTAGTTATCATCAAAAATGAATGATTTTATATCATTTAATTAGAGGACATTGTGTTTTGGTTTCAAAAAGTCTCATCTCTTCACAACAGTTACCAATATTAACAGTTTTGAACATTTTCTATGTGTTTGTAAATTCTCTTAAAAACTTATTTTCGTGACTATTATATCGTAATAATATATAATTAGTTAGTTTTAAATAATGTGTATTTGGGATCAATTTGGCCAAAAAGTAGACCTAAATAGCAATTTTGTATTTAAGTATGAAAAGGAGTGAATGGAGAAAAAATATATAATTTATAAATTTTATTCATTTGTTTATTAGAAATGAAGTGATTGTCGACTAGATTTCTGTTACGATTCAATTATAGTCAATAATTTCTGAATTGTTTGCAACTCTTTAGAAGCAAAAGGAGTGCTTTATATGAGAGTAATCGTTGTAATCGAGATATGGATCGCTTCACTCATGAATAGTTGGCATTGGTTTGACAATTGATGCAAACATAACATGAGATTTGATTTTCAAGTACTAATTACTAGTTAATCGTAGTTAAAGTTGCGATCCTTTGGATCACAGGTTTTGATTTCAACTTCATTTCAATATGAATTGCTATTCAAAAGTGGCTTTATATCAATAATCATATAGTAATTTCTCATTGTTTATCAATTGTTAAGTTTTGTTTAATCCGATACGAGATATGAAGAAAATATTTCAAATATAAGAATAAAAATAAATTTAAGTGAAAGACTAGTCTTAACTGACTTGAGTCGTGATTAAGCCTACAAATCGTTTCTCAATTCAAACCTGTCATGCAATTAGCAAATTGAGGAGAAATGAAAAGTTCAAATTGGTTTTAAGGCCATTATTATTGCTAAACACAGGCCTGGATTGAGAACGAGCTCAACAGCAATACTTCAAAATAAGCTAACAATAAAATATAATAGTTGTTTGAAAAGTAAATGAATATAAAAATTATAAAATCTAATAATAATTAATATTATTACAGAGTAATCGTAGTAAAGATGAGGACATCACAGGAGAGCCAAAAAATAAATTATTTTAAACTGTTGTGAAGTGTTATAGGGATAGAGACATATATTAATATTAATAGTCATATACAGTATATGTTATTATTGTAGTTATAGTTATATAGTTTTTAAATTAATAATAATAAATATTTTGCGGTCAAAATATCAATGATATTCAATAATAATGAATTCAATTGATATATAGTTTATGATTAGTTTGTGTGCAGTTAAAGACTTATATCTATAAGACAAACATTTTTTTCCTAACCCGACTGCAGCTCAAAATATATGACAATTTCGATACTCAAGTCGTAACCATTAAACCTAATGCCTGTAAAGACTGAATCAAATGACTTACTCTATATCTCAATCCAACGATTAAATCACATTTAGAGTACATTTTCCCGCTTTTGACAACTTTTATCACAAACTGTTTCCCTAAGAAATATTCTGTTTATAACTAATAGAGAGCTAATCATTGAATGATTTGACAAAAAAATCGATAAAAAAATAATAAAAAAGATGTCATTTTCTAAAAAATTGATTACAAAAATTATAACAATTATTACAAAAATATTTGCGAAATAATTAAATTGTATTGAGTTTGAGAAATTGAGAGAAGCCTTCAATGATTAACTGTCCAAAAGTTATATGAAGTCAAGTGTCGATCCTTACAGGCATTGAAGGACTCGATTAGAGACTAGTAATGAAGAACAGACTAATCCCGAACCGACTATTATTCGGAGATCAAAATTATTTTTGTTAAAACGTTATAAAAAATAATAAAATAAAAACAAAATAACAATAAATATATATTAAGCGTAAAATCTCGTCGTTTGTCTTCACGACTATAAGACTATAACGAATTATCTCTACTGTTAGTCAACAACTATTGAAGTTTGAATTAAGCCTAAACTGCATTTGCCTTAACACCAGCGAAATGGTACGGCTCGCGGTCTGTCGGCGCCCTCTTTCACTAGAGGCTTATGAAACTCACGACCAGGTCTTGAATGGATAGTCGCCCAGCAGTGCTCGCAGTAGTACTGCAGACATGTCACGTTCGCACAGAAGAACGGCGCAAATTTGCCCCCACAGCGCGCCCCTTGACATTCATCGCATATCTGGTCATCTATTCAATCACATTTCACATTATTATCACGCAACTATTTATAACTAAATTATAACATTAAACTATTTAAATCCATACCTAAAACATATGGTTTGACTTCAACCTAAAATGAATGATTAAAATCAATTAATAATATAGTTGATTGAGTTAATAATAATCAATATTAGTAATAATAATAACCCGCTTCTCGATGTCTCCGTGTTGTAACTGAACGAATCGGGCGCTTATGGCCGCTATATAGCTCTGTTGGTTAGAGAAAGCCACTCTTCCCGCACCTTTCTGTTAGCCATTCAACAAATATAACAAATATAGCTAAATGTTTAAATGTGCTCTAATATGCATTTACATACCGGATATCTCAGCTCCGGGTCAGTATCGATGCCGGCATAACAAACACCTCCGTAAAGGCGATCCATAATCATTGCCAATTCAACTGCAATTAAATGATTCAATTCAATACAATTGTCAATTTAAACCTAAAGTGTATTGATTTGGTACCAGCTTTGAGAGGTCGGGGAACTCCACCAACAAAAACTGTTTTTCGAGGGTCGAGTGGCATCGATGCGTCCAATACGAAATCAGCATCACTGAGTCTCCATGGTCGAATTTGCACCTATTGTTACATATAATCAATGTACATTTGTCACATTTAATCTAATAATTAATAAATACCGGTTTGTCTTTAATAGTAGGACTCGAAACACACAGATATAGCTTATCGTCCTCTTGAATACACGCGTCAATCAATGCCTGAACCGACGATTCGTCTTGAAATAGCAAGAATGCATATCCTATTCACACAAAAACAATAAATATCACCATTTTTTAAATAACCATATTTCGAATGAAGACCTTTGGGTGGGAAATAGGATTTGCTCTCAGCCTTATGAGGCCAGTCCACCACTAGGGGCCCAAAGCGTCGAAAACTCGCTGTAATCTCCTCTACAATGAATACATTTGTCAATTTAACAAATTTATCCAAAAATCATATTTAATATTCTCTCAAACCTTCGTCTATATCAGGAGGAAGTCCTCCAACAAACACCTTTCTGGAGAAGCGTTCACCGCTATCGCCAGCAACTGTTATAACATCAATCAATTTGAATATACATTTCAATGAGAATCAAATAAAAACATACCAGAGTTGGAGTCCATAAGAATATGATTATCGGAGTCAACGCCAGTAAAGAATGGAGATTTGCCTGAAATAATAATTAAAATGTTTATACATTAAATAATTTATTAATTAAATATAACTTATAAAAAATGTCACAACTCTTCAATATATAAAATTCAATTAATAATTTAATAAGAAGTACCTCTACGTCGTCCAAAATTTCTGGCGGCTTGTAATATAAACAAATGCTCTTATTTTATATGCAAAATACAATAAAACACTACAATATACTACACTAATTCTATATAAATTATATAAATACAAAATACACAAAAATGTACAAATTTAGTCATTAAGTAAAACAAGTGTTTAGATAAGGAGAAGCGCTTACCTCTGAAGTATTTCTTATTTCCCGAAAAGTCATCAAATGATGTAAATGATGGCCCTTTCAAACAATTGGATTCATTATTTGTAAATAGATTTGTAATATTAATGCTGTCATCATTAAAACAACTAATTTTTTCTTTAGTCATAATAAAAAATAATTTTTATAATTCTGTAATATATTTAATAAATATAGAATATTCTGATGTTTATATTTAAGGTAATTATATTTTTTATAATTAATTCCTAAATATATTTTATAATTGATTATAAATATTTATAAATTCACAACTTTGCCAAAACCCAAAATCAATCTAATAGTGATTAAATAAATTTTTAGTAATACAGTATATAAACTATATAAAAATAAATAAAATCAATTTATTGTTTATGTAATTAATGATTATTCTCTATAAATTCAACCCATTTTTGGTGCAAAAGCAAATTGATTTTAAATTACCAAAACACATATAAATGAAATAAAGATTTGAGTTTATTTAAAAATTCAACATTGTATTTATTTTTATATTAATTGAATCTTTCTGAATAATTTTAATCAATAATTTTCACTAAAATCATAAATATTGATATTTAATATTCAAATGGTTTGCAAAACATAGAATATGAATTGCTTTACATTAAATGTATGAGAAGTGCTCATCATTTATATATATTTTATTTTATTGACAATAAATTATTGTGTATATAGCAGAATATGAATTGAATCTCCTTAAGTAATTAACACTTCAAAATCTCAGTCAATTATAATAAACCTCTCAATAATAAGCAAAAATTGAAATAAATGAATGAATAAATACCTTGCATTTGTGACAAAGACTGAAGACCCGTGTGATTGTAGTTTACAAAACCTATTCAATACAATACATCATTAAATATATTCTTTACGTGTTTAGTATTTCTTAAACACTATTCTTAACCTAATTTACTGTACATATAATTAAATTTTAAATACGGTATAAATTAACTTCACTTAATAAATTATAAATAAATTGAGATTAATTTGTGTGAACATGTATAACATAAAACTTGTTAGGATAGCGTATGGTGAATTACCTTTGCACTGGTCCTGTGAATCTCCTGTCGTACGAATAATCTCCAAAAGTTGCTGTTCCAGAGGAAAGCGAAGAGTATCTAAAGGACTGGTAGCCGATCCCATTCCACCGGGCATTTGTCTTTCCTACCAAATCAATCAATCAATTCATTCAATCAGTTATTCATTGCAATCAAATATCTGTTCAAATAATTTACATTTAATTATCAGTTGTATTATTTTACTACTCACAGAAAAATATATGAAAAGGCAGAATAAAACAATTATCTACAAATTCGGATCTACTATAAGATCAATTCAATCACACAAATCCATATTCTATTCTATTTAACTTTATTTACAAAATTTGAGTTAAAATGGATTAAATAAAAGTATAAGTGATGGAGGAATGTATTAATTGATCACAAAGAATACACAGTATGTGTGGAGTGTATGTTCTTGAGGACAAAGAATTGGGCGATTCATTAAATGTCTATTCAATTCAATATATCATTAATTCTGAGATAATTAGTGTATGTATCAAATGTGCAGAGAAACCCTGATATTCGTATCATGGTATATTTTATTCTAACTCTTCCTAACGTTATTCTAAACATTTTAGTTTATCGTTTGTTAAAATTGACCATGTACTTTTTGAGTACTGAAAACCTCCAAACTCGCATAGAAAACGCATGTCACAAATGACCCCTTAATGTATCAATCAATTCATATAATAATGTTTTATAAAACAATATATTTCGCATATTATATAAGTATATTCGAGTCAAATAGCAAATACTTAAATACATTGTAAAGAATAATAATTAAAGAATAAATGAAAGTATGTTTTGGAAATCAGCCAAACATTAGTTCAATCTTTGAACGCAAATCTCAACAACGATTGAATCAAATATTTTTAAAAACAAATAACATATGAATATTAGATGTTATAAAAGTTGCGATTGTTTTTTGGTTGAGACCACAAATCGCTAATAATTGCAAATTATTGACAAAATGTTTTCAAAAATGATTCGTCTATTATATTGAATACATAGCGAGTGAATGGAAAACAAAATGCCATATATTCTACACAACAGTATATATTCTAATGTTATTATGAGTGCCAATACTTTCATGAATTTTCGTTCAAATAATCGATAGTTTTCTCTCATATTATTATTATTATTATTAACTCTACTCTTATATTGTATGATATATTGAGTGATTAGAAGCAAATTCTGGTTATTCTGTTTAGTATTAAATAATAGGAGGTGTAGGTGTGTGTGGGGCACAGCAGGGGAGGGGTTACACCCATTACACTATATTCTATCGCATATATAATATGCTAATTACAATCATCTAAATATGAGTTAATAATAAAACTGATTTCAATCCATGTATGGGTTATGAGTGATGTGTGACTGACCTGATAGGGAAGGCCGAGAGCGCTGTCCCTGACATTCGCGGACTCACTGGAGGAGGAAGTGGTGTCGCTTCCAATGGATGCCAAATCAAAGGGTGTGTTAGAGGAGCCGAACTGTTTAGCCATAGGCATGGATGCGCTGCGCCTATACTTTGACGGCGAGATCATCATCGATGGCGTCTGATTCATGGCCGGCGGCGACTTCTTCATCGGTGAAATGGGCGACACGTTTGGCACTGCAGTGACGGCCCGTTTCTGGGAACTCATGTTAAGAGAGCCCCAGGGGTTGCCTGTATTGGGTGACGGCTGCGACACCGCTGTGGACCAGGAAGTGGCCGATGGTTGCGGCGGTTGAGCCGTCCAATTGCCAGCACTGGTGTAGGTTTTGAAGAGACTAGAAGTTTGAGACTGTGGTGGGGGTCGAGTCGACGCAATGGCATTGGAGGCCAAGTTATGGGCGCCGGTTATCGCACGTCTCTGGGCTGAGGAGGCGCTCGACTGTTGCGATTGAGACAATGGCGGCGATACAGCACTGCTTGTGCCGAACGAAGTGTTCATATTAGGACTGTATTGCGGGTATTGATGGCCACCATTCAGAGCTGTGGCCACACTGTATGCCTGTCCCGAGACTTCGCAATCCGTATTGATTACGCAATTTGTTGACCAGAATTGTTGTTCGCAATTGTTTGCTGAAGAGATCACTGATTCACTGATTGGTGTTTGGTTTGTATGACTGTTATCACCGATTATACCGTTGGCAGAGCTGTTGCCGTTACTCACTGTGCCTTTACTTCCGTTCACTGAACACTTGATCTGACCATCAATTGAGTTATCGTTGCATTCAGTGTCTGATTTGGGAACCGATTGACTCGACTTCGGCAGTCTTCGGGTCACTTCATCTAAATCTTGCATTTTTGATGAATCCATTGCATTGTTGTCGACATTAATTTGTGACCAATTGGTGTTGTCTTCGGAACCATTGTTAGCGATGTCTTCATTTTGTACTCTAATTGCACTGTTATTACAGATATTGTCTGACAAACAAACAGCTGATGATTCAAATGACTCTATTGGCAGACCATTAATCGCCGATTGATTCTCACCTCCGATACCAGCACTGGATTCACTCGAAGACTGCGATTCCAGTGACTGATGATTGCCGTAAAAGAGGCGACAATTGGCGTCCGAAGAGTCGACAGATTGTGTCGATGGATGCAGTGATGGCTGTATTGGTGGTGATGTCTGTGAGAGTGAGTACGAGTCGTGACCTACAGATGATACAGAAGTGGTGGCACTGACTGCAGATCCATAGCTGTAATCACAATCACCCATAAGAAGACAATCCAATACTAGTGGCACTCAGTGTTCATTCAAACAATGGTCTCTCACTTAATGGTGTTATGATTGCAGTCCTGATCCCAACTCTTCACCCAATTCTGGTTTCAATTGTTCACACAATTTGTCACAAATGGCTCACAAGAGGACACACAGACACACACTAACACTCCTAACACTCCTAACTGTACTCCTAATGCACAGCACAGCACAGCATACCATACACTACACCACATATAACTGTACACCACTAGAGCTGTATAGCTGTAGTCATCAGTGTTTGCATTCACTTCACATACAACCTAACAGTCAGTCTCTATACGAGGGGAGAGAGAGAGAGAGCGAGAGAGAGAGAGAGAGAGCTCTAGCTCTAGCTGTAAATGTAGGAATTGGTGCGATTGGTGTGTTTTGCTCTGTTTTTGGTCTTCTCTCGACTCAACCTTTTTTCACTTCAATATACAGAATGAGGTTAACGGAGGAAATAGAGTCGAGAATAGCCTCAACACCGATATCATGCCATAGAGCCGGCGCACACTTACACTTCTCCCTCTTTTTCATGAACCCAATGGTTCGCAATTCTATATTCCTTATTATTTCAATACAATTTTCAAATATTATTTATATAAGATATGCATTGAATTACATCAGTAATTAAAATATTAATTTAAGACTATTAATAAAAGTATTTATCATTGTTTAATACATATTTTATTTATGTTCAGATTTATTAATTAATTAACCTAAACATCTTTTAACCTTTTTAAAATGTTTGTTTTAATAAGCCCTCCAATAGTTTTTGATTTAAGTTTTTTATTCAAACCCAAACATCTAATATTTATTTATCGCATCTGTTGTGAAACTAATGTAACTTTATTGCAACAGAATTTATTCTTCATATGGTATTCTTAAAGTGATGTGATTTAGCATTTGTTTCATAAAATGTTTACAAATATGCGTTCATTCCATCGAAAGAAGTGTTAATAAAACGAATGTGCCTGTAACATTACAATCTATGGAATTGAATTTAGAAATAAACATGTATTCATAAATAGGAAGTAACTCATATAAAAACGATAGTTCATAATAATGAGGCTTTCGTGTAAATCACATCAACACTCTTCTAGAATATATACTGTTGTGTAGAATATATGGCATTTTGTTTTCCATTCACTCGCTATGTATTCAATATAATAGACGAATCATTTTTGAAAACATTTTGTCAATAATTTGCAATTATTAGCGATTTGTGGTCTCAACCAAAAAACAATCGCAACTTTTATATCATCTAATATTCATAAATTAGTTGTTTTACAAATATTTGATTCAATCGTCGTTGAGATTTGTGTTCAAAGATTGAACTACTGTTTGGCTGATCTCCAAAACATACTTTCATTTATTCTTTAATTATTATTCTTTACAATGTATTTAAGTATTTGGTATTTGACTCGAATAAGTCACCTCCTAAAATTTGTTAAATTATAATTATTTCAATAGGACTAATGCAAATAAGTATATACCAAGTATAACTACCAAGCTCATACGCAAAATACATTTAATTCGTATCGTAATGTAATGTATATTTCAAATAGTAATCAATATCTTTTAAAGAACGCATTGAATTAAATAGACATTTAAATAATAGTACAATTCTTGTCCTCCAATATTCACTCCACACTGTATACTGAATACTGCATATTCTTTGTGATCAATTGATCCATTCCTCCGTCACTTTTGGCTTTATTTTATCCATTTTTAATTCAAAAAAATAAATATTAAATAGAATAAAATATGGATTTTTGTGATTGATTTAATCTTATTGTAAATCCTATTGTTTTGTTACTAACATTTTAGAGATACAAATATTCTGTATATATTTTATGTTAGATTTAATTTTATAGCAAAAAAATTAAAATGGCAATTAATTAGTAATTATAATTTATAAACAGCAATTTCTCACAGTATTTGCTGTTAAATTAATTTTTAAAATCTTGACGTGTTTTATAAAAAGACAAATAGCCGGCGAAACTGTTTAATAATTAACGCGATATTAATATTTTAAAATCATATAACATTATTAAAATGTAATATTTTTATAGCGATTGCATTACTGCACTCAATCATGTAACTTTAATACACGATACACTCATAATGACCGCAAAATAAGTTTATAATTAGCTGAAATATTTTTTTAAAATTCACATAAAATATAATCTTAATACGATAACAAATTGTGCATACCCGTTATCTACTCAACCAATATCCTATTTATTTTAATTATATTTTTATATAACTGTAAAAACTTTAGTTTTATAATACTATTTTGTTTTCCATTCACTCGCTATGTATTCAATATAATAGACGAATCATTTTTGAAAACATTTTGTCAATAATTTGCAATTATTAGCGATTTGTGGTCTCAACCAAAAAACAATCGCAACTTTTATACCATCTAATATTCATAAATTAGTTGTTTTACAAATATTTGATTCAATCGTTGTTGAGATTTGTGTTCAAAGATTGAACTACTGTTTGGCTGATCTCCAAAACATACTTTCATTTATTCTTTAATTATTATTCTTTACATTGTATTTAAGTATTTGGTATTTGACTCGAATAAGTCACCCCCTAAAATTTGTTAAATTATAATTATTTCAATAGGACTAATGCAAATAAGTATATACCAAGTATAACTACCAAGCTCATATGCAAAATACACTTAATTTGTATCGTAATGTAATGTATATTTCAAATAGTAATCAATATTCTTTAAAGAGCGCATTGAATTAAATAGACATTTAAATAATAGTACAATTCTTGTCCTCCAATATTCACTCCACACTGTATACTGAATACTGCATATTCTTTGTGATCAATTGATCCATTCCTCCGTCACTTTTGGCTTTATTTTATCCATTTTTAATTCAAAAAAATNTACTGAATACTGCATATTCTTTGTGATCAATTGATCCATTCCTCCGTCACTTTTGGCTTTATTTTATCCATTTTTAATTCAAAAAAATAAATATTAAATAGAATAAAATATGGATTTTTGTGATTGAATTAATCTTATTGTAAATCCTATTGTTTTGTTACTAACATTTTAGAAATACAAATATTCTGTATATACTGTAGCAAATTTTATAGCAAAAAAATTAAAATGGCAATTAATTAGTAATTATAATTTATAAACAGCAATTTCTCAAAGTATCTCAAATTAATTTTTAAAATCTTGACGTGTTTTATAAAAAGACAAATAGCCGGCGAAACTGTTTAATAATTAACGCGATATTAATATTTTAAAATCATATAACATTATTAAAATGTAACATTTTTATAGCGATTGCATTACTGCACTCAATCATGTAACTTTAATACACGATACACTCATAATGACCGCAAAATAAGTTTATAATTAGCTGAAATATTTTTTAAAAATTCACATAAAATATAATCTTAATACGATAACAAATTGTGCATACCCGTTATCTACTCAACCAATATCCTATTTATTTTAATTATATTTTTATATAACTGTAAAAACTTTAGTTTTATAATACTTTTGAATAATAAATTTCTTACACAGGAATATGACGACAACTGACTTATATTGTAATCATTTGAAACAATCATATTATAAATTATTTTATATGTTGATATCAAAACTAAAAACACGTGTAAAGTGAATTAATTATTACATTTAATTTAATTAAATACAATTTCAGGACAAACTGATATGGTTAGAACTTTATATAAACGTAATTTACGTTCAAAAATGTTTAACAAAATGTACTTTTTTATGATTCCTTTCATCCAACAAACAACTTAACAAATTTATTATCATTTTATTAAATACCGTATTTTTGAATATAATTTTATAGAATTTATGTAAGAATTGTACCAAAAGAGTGGTAATTCTATTAATTACTTAACGACAAGACCTCCCGGGCGACACCCCTATTAAATATTACCATATCAGTGTCTTTATTAATACAATATACAGTATCAGCATATATACAGTCAATGATGATAGTTATGAGCAAAATTGTTCCAGCATATTTGGTTTATTACATCGATTTGTTCACTGCATAGATAGTGATTGAAATGTGTTTAAAACTAATTTACTTATTTAAATATCACATAAAATTGTTAATCAAAGAGAAAATTAATTATTTATAAATATTTGATGATTTAAAAGATGATTCAGAGACTGATAAATAGTTTAATTAGAGAATTGGTGGTTCATAACTTTTATAGTTGACTGTATTGTGATTATATAGACTTTTAGATAAATTAAATGTTTATAAGTTGTTGAAATTAGATAAGGAACACATAAACATTTTTAAACATATAAATATTACATGTAGTATAAGAAAAAGTTAAATATATACTTTTTAAAGTCTAAATTGTTGTAAAAATATTATTATAAGTAACATAAATTGTAATTTTAAACGTTAGAAACATGTTTAAGTTTGCAATAGACAGAGGAGGAACTTTTACTGATGGTAAGTATTTGATTAACTTTACCATAATTATAATAATATTTTGTTTGAAATGTAATTTTTATTATAAAATGGATAGTTTTCTGCATTTGTCCGAATGGACGCATACGAGTGATGAAACTGTTAAGTGTTGATCCGGACAACTATAAGGACGCACCGCTTGAGGCCATTAATAGAATTATTAGATCAGAATTAGGAGACAATTATCCAAAACAATCAAATATTGAATCGAGTCTTATTGAATGGATACGAATGGGAACAACAGTAATATCATCTAAAGTTATGTCTATCATCTAAAATAATTGGGTTAACAATTGTAATGATAGGTCGCAACCAATGCTCTACTCGAACGCAAAGGAGAACCGATTGCATTGATTGTAACGAAAGGTTTTAGAGATATCTTAGAAATTGGCAATCAGTCGAGAGATGATATCTTTGAATTGAATATTAAAAGTCCACAACTTTTATATAAAGATGTGATTGAAGTGGAAGAGAGGGTTGTTTTCAAACAAGAAAATTGTCAAATTGAGAGACAAAATACTGAAGAATGTATTGGTATAACTGGAGATGAGCTACAAATATGGCAGACCATAGATCCGGAACCATTACGACAAGATTTGAAGAAAGTGTTTGATAAAGGCATTAGAAGTCTAGCTGTTGTTCTCCTGCATTCATATATGTATCCAAAACACGAAGAATTCGTTAAAAAGATTGCTGAAGATATTGGGTTCACTCAAATCACATTATCATCTCATGTGATGCCAATGGTTAAGATTGTTCCCCGAGGTTTGAACTTTAATTATAATTTATTTTCAAAGTTAATTACAATAATTAATAGAAATTGTAAATAATTTTATATAAAAAAGGATTGACTGCTTGTGCGGACGCATACCTGACCCCTCATATTAAGAAATATATAAACGGATTCTCTTCTGGTTTTACTAATGGTTTAGAAAAACTAAACGTTTTATTTATGCAATCAGACGGAGGATTGACTCCCGTTAATAAATTTAGTGGCTGTCGATCAATATTAAGCGGTCCGGCGGGTGGAGTGGTTGGCTATTCCACCACTACTTACCAGGATTTAAATGATGGCTTACCTATAATCGGGTTTGATATGGGGGGCACTTCCACTGATGTCAGTCGTTATAGCACTGGCTTTGAACATACATTTGAGACGACAACCGCCGGAATTACTATACAAACTCCTCAATTAGGTCTTTATTATTGTCATTGTTTTACCATTTATTCATTTGTAAATACTTTTCAGACATACATACTGTGGCTGCGGGGGGAGGCTCTAAGCTATACTTTCGGGTTAGTTAAGCTACTATTTTAAACAGTATAATTAATCAATTATCATATGACTATTGATTGTTATTACAGACGGGGCTATTCGTTGTGGGACCTGAAAGCGCCGCTGCTTTTCCTGGTGCTACTCATAATTGATACCAATTTACTATATTTTGTATATTTTATTTATCAATTGATATTGTATTTAAAGGACCGGTTTGTTATCGAAATAATGGTTTCCTAACTGTGACGGACGCTAACTTATGTTTGGGTCGAATAATACCCAAATATTTTCCTAAAATATTTGGTCCTAAAAAAGATCAACCATTAGATAAAGATTCCACTATTAATGCATTTAATACTCTGACAAATGAAATCAATGAATTCGTTAAATTCTCCGAATCTTATGATAAAAAGTTTTTAACTGTAGAAGAAGTGGCGATGGGTTTTATACGAGTGGCAAATGAAGCCATGTGTCGACCCATACGTGCTATTACTCAGGGCAAAGGTTACGATACTTCTAACCATATTCTGGCCTGTTTTGGGGGCGCAGGTGTGTTAATGGAGGGACAAATACAGTTGTAATTACTCTTATATTAATCATTTATTAATTATTATATATATGCACACAAAGGTGGACAACATGCCTGTGCAGTCGCTCGTTCATTGGGAATGTCCAAAGTGTTTGTCCATAAATACGCGGGTATTTTGTCAGCATATGGTATGGCTTTGGCTGATGTGGTTCACGAGGAAACGATTCCCACTTCATTCCAATACAATGACAAATATTTCATTCAAATCGATGAACGTATTCATGGATTGGTTGATAAATGTATAAATGAATTGAAGAAACAGGGCTTTAACGACAATGACATTAGTTGTGAGATTTATTTAAACATGAGATACGAAAAGACAGACTTTCCTGTTATGACACAAACAGATTCTCTTTCCAAAAATTCCAAACAATTTTGCACTCGAGATAACTTTAAAAAGTCATTTTTGGATTTATATCAAAGAGAGTTTGGATTTACAATATCTGATCGAAATATTCTGGTCGACGACATTAGAGTTCGAGGCGTTGGCTCTTATAATGAGTTTAAATCAGTTACAAAAACCACACAAAAAAGCAATTCTGTGCCTAAAATTGACGACAAAGTCAAATGTTATTTTGATGAAATGGGTTTCTTGGAAACACCGGTGTATTTGATGGAGAGTTTGGTGTTTGGACACGAGATTGAAGGACCGGCTGTTATAATTGATCCAAATTTTACTGTCTTAGTTGAGCCCAACTGTAGAGCAGTAATCACTGAAAGTGGAAATATTGCCATTAATGTTGAGAAAGTGAAGCAAACTCTAAAGGGAACTAATTTAGATCCCATTCAACTCTCAATATTCTCCCACCGCTTCATGAGTATTGCTGAACAAATGGGTCGAGTCTTACAGCGCACCTCCATTTCCACTAATATTAAGGAAAGACTCGGTAAATCATAAACTAAATCAAATGTAATTTCATTATTTATTAATTTTATTTTTAAAATGGAAACTCATTCGGTTATAAGATTTTTCGTGCGCTCTGTTTGGCCCAAATGGAGGACTTGTAAGCAATGCCCCTCACATTCCCGTTCATTTGGGATCTATGGGTAAAGCAGTAGAATTTCAACTGGAATTCTTACAAAATGATCTTGGTAAAGGGGATGTCATACTAACAAATCACCCACAGGCTGGAGGTTGACTAACTTATTATAAATGCTTTTGATTAATTTTATTAATGTTAAAAAATGTAATTATTTGTTATAAGGCAGTCATTTACCAGACCTAACAGTTATTACTCCAGTCTTCTACTCAAATGAAAAGAAGCCAATATTTTTTGTGGCAAATCGAGGTCATCATGCTGACATCGGTGGTTTAACTCCGGGTACTTTAACATTTTGATTATTACGTGTGAATAAATGATGAAATGACACTTGGTCTATTGGAACTAAAATAGGTTCAATGCCACCACATTCAACTAATATCTTTCAAGAAGGGGCAGCAATAAAGTCATTTAAATTAGTGAAATGCGGTATTTTCCAAGAACAAGGTGTGACTGATATCTTGATGTCTCCGGGCAAACATCCGGGTTGTAGTGGCACCAGAACTCTGAGCGACAATTTAAGTGACCTGAGAGCACAGGTGGCGGCAAATCAAAAGGGGATAAGTCTAGTGACAGAATTGATTGATTTCTATGGCCTGGATGTGGTTCAGGCGTATATGAGTTACATTCAGACAAACGCTGAATTTGCGGTCAGAGATATGCTCAAGAAAATGGCAAAATCACTGCAAACTCATCGACTTTTGGCAACCGATTATATGGATAGCGGAACCAAAATTCATCTGACAATCGATATCAATGAGACGACCGGCGATGCAGTCTTTGACTTTACGGGAACTGATGAAGAAGTTTACGGTAACTGTAACGCTCCCAAAGCCGTAACACTATCGGCAATTATATACAGTTTGCGGTGTTTGGTTGGACACGATATTCCTCTAAACCAGGGCTGTCTCTCTCCTATCAAAGTTATAATTCCCGACAATTGTATTCTCTCGCCATCAGAAGAAGCAGCAGTTGTCGGAGGTTTGCATTCAATTCATTATTTAGTATTTCAAGACTTATAATTAGTTGAATGTTAGGAAATGTACTGACTTCTCAACGAGTGACTGATGTTATACTGAAAGCTTTCGAAGTGTGCGCTGCATCTCAAGGATGTATGAATAATGTGACATTTGGTGATGAAAGGTATTTACCATACATTATTTCAAATTGCTTGAGTGAAAACTATTTTGTCCAGATTTGGATACTACGAGACGATTGCCGGCGGTTCGGGTGCGACGGCCACTAGTAATGGGCGAAGTGGTGTTCACACGCATATGACAAATACCCGGATCACTGACGTCGAAATTCTTGAGAAACGGTATCCAATTATTGTGAATAAATTTACTTTAAATCCGGGTTCGGGAGGAAAAGGCATGTTTAATGGCGGCAATGGTGTGATTCGGGAAATGATGTTTCGCAAGAATGGTATCATTTTATCGGTCTTAACAGAAAGACGCGTTTACTCTCCCTATGGAATGAAGGGTTTGTTTAAACAATAGTTTATAATATGTTTAAATTATAATTAATTTTATGATTTAATAATAATATAATTATTAGGAGGAGAGGCAGGAAAGAGAGGCAAAAATATTGTGAAGTTTAAAAGAAATGGACGGACCGTCGACTTGGGGGCTAAAAATTCAGTGCCCGTCAGCGCCGGCGATATCTTTAGACTTGAATCTCCCGGTGGCGGCGGATATGGCACTTGCGCTCAATGATGATTGTGTTCGCATATATACAGCCAATTATATACTTTTAAATATATTTATTTTAATAATTACAAAAATATATGATAATAACAGCTCATTATAATTGGCATTGAGTTCATTTAAGAAATTAAAGGGTGTATTGAACTCTGTTTAGTATAACTATTGAATATATTTTGTAACAATTGTTTATAACAATAAATATAGTTTTAACAAATTTTGGACAATTTCTATTAATTGTAGCAAATATTGAATATAAGGAAATTCTAGAAATGAGAAAATGCACAGAATTATATTATTTGTACGTTAAAGACATACAATATATTATAATTAGCAGACAATCAGTCTTTTGTTTTATAATTCTTGTTATTTGTTTGATTATTTTTCTGAAAAATTAAATTAAAAATAATTGTTAAATACATTTTTATATGAAAAGAATTTATTATCTAGTAATATGTTAAAGAATATTTACCACTCGCTGTGTTTTCATCTGATAAACATTTCCATTGATCTCTGTTTGCGAGACATCCCTTATATAACGGTAAAAGTCGTGGCCAACAATCGCTTAAAATCTGTACAAATTTAGAAATTATATGATTTATTTAATTTAATGATCAATAAATATTAAAAATCAATAAATACCTTATAAACAGGAAGACATATGAGATCGATAAAAGCAACCTGCCTATTCAGTCCAATAGTTTAAGTATAGACAAGATAAAATGAATAAATATTCAACAATTAGGCTAATTATTAGTTTGACTCACATTAAGGGCAGTTCGTGTTCCCTCTCCCTGTCCATCATAGCGATTGGCATTTGATTGAGTTTCTCTCTTTCCAGATCACCTTGCTCAAAAAACTCATGAGCCACCAATTCAGCCACTCTTTTCTGAATACTCCAGGGCTTGAATGTGGCGCTGATATCACAGGCAGTCATTAGAATACCTCTTATTAAATCTTTAGTATAGTTATCACTCCAACTCTGTTTCCCTCTTTTCACCAATTCTTCAAATTTATTCTTTTTTCTGATTATTATTTAGGAATCGATATAACAATCATTGAAATATACGATAACTTGTTTTTGAATAACTCACTGAAAATATTGGTCTAAATCCGTTGACAGAATACACGACTCAATTATATTTATAACTTCTTTGTAATTTTCGGGTGAAAGCGATTGAAAAATATTATTTCCCTAAATATAATTCATTTTTAGAAACTATA